GGCAACACGCCCCACGGACAGAATGTGATTGGCTGAACTCCCCGTCACATGATTTCTGTCCTTGCATCGACTTAGGTGCCATATCACAGTTATTGACTGAATATATTGAGTCATTCTTAAATCCTTGGAATAATGCCAATTTGGTCGTGGTATATGATATCTTGATGTGTTGTAGACTTATGCTTGCAAGTATTGTTTTGAAAATGTCCACATCCAAGTTCATCATGGAAATTGACCTATAATTTTGTTCTGTGTCTTTACCCAGTTTTGATATCAGGATAATTGTGGTCTTAAAAATGCTTTTGGTAGTACTGCTTCCCTTTCTATTTGATGAGATGATTTGAGATACGCTGATGTTAGTTCATATCTGAGTCCTTATGTCCTTGTATTTTTACACAGTTCTCATTTTATCATTATCAGGTGTGAAACTGTCCCACAGCCATCAGTCACATTTACACTAGATTTGGAGACTGGTGGGAAAGGAACACACCAATTCTTTGTTATAGAAAAAAATCCACCTCTTTTTGAGGCAGTCACTAAATAGCCAGAAGTTCACCCACGGGACTAGGTGGGCTGGCAGTGAGTCTGAGGGACCCACCTGTCACTATCTCCATAGTACTGGACTACAAGCCATACCACTCTGGGGGTCGATCTCAGGATCTCAAGCTTGCACAATAAGCACACTACCAATTCCCTGGACCACAGTAAACAACAGAGTCTCAGTGTGTGGCTCTAGCTGTCCTAGAACTCATTATATAGACCAGGCTGCCCTTGAACTTGTGGACATCCTCAGCCTCTACCTATGCCTCCTACCCCAACCCCCATATCCCCGTTTGCCATATGAAAAGGTGAAGGTATCAGGGCTTTGGGGTAACTTCTATTTGGTCAATAGAATGGAATCTAATTTCCACATCTGACCAAGGGTGGAGACTATACACACATACACACACACACACACACACACACACACACACTCACACACACACACTGATCTGTCCCTAAGACCAGAATATGCCCACCAATGTCAGCTCTCTTAAGAGTTAATCTAACTAGTACTGTCAATCACCTGGTCGGCAGACAACCCTTCTAGAAAGCTGGTCATTTGAAAATACACAAAGAAATTCGGCAGTGGTGGATTGTGGTACAACACACCTTTAATCCCAGTACTCGGGAGGCAGAGGCAGGTGGATCTCTGTGAGTTCTAAGCCAATATGATCTACAGAGCAAGTTCCAGGACTAGCTCTACAGCTACTGAATAACCCTGTCTCGAAAAACAAATAAACAAACAAAAAGAAAACAAAAAACGAAATGGGAAGAATAATAATACCCCAAGTGAGATAATTCCTTACTACATCCCTGGAGGCCCTCTCTCAATTCAGTTTTTGCAGATATTCACTGCTAAGCCTATTGCTTTCCTGATTTCTTTTCTTTTTTCCTTTCTCTCTTTCCTTTTTTTTTTCTGTAGGGCCTGGGTCTTCCCTTGCTCCTGGGGTGCATCTTGAGGACAATTTCTGGTCAGCCAGCTAAAACATCCTGTTTGTTCCTGTGCTCCCTCTGCCTAGCCTGGTGATTAGCTGTAGGGCATTGTTTCATCTTTGGTGTGGTAATTTCCCACCTGCCTGGGTGGAAATCCTTGTGCAGCAGCTAGGCATATAAGGATTTCCCCAAAGTTGAATAAATGGCATTCGGCTGATCTCCTTTCGAATGACCCAGGTCTCTTGTGTGGTCTTTCAATCTCCAGGCCCTTGCCGGACTCGCATACAGTACATTGGCCTGCGAACTGTACCGAGGGGGTAACACAGAATCGGGTGTTACATTTTTTATTTTTTATTTTTTGGCTTTTCAAGACAGGGTTTCTCTGTAGCTTTGGAGCCTGTCCTGGAACTAGCTCTTGTAGACCAGGCTGGCCTCGAACTCACAGAGATCTGCCTACCTCTGCCTCCCGAGTGCTTGGATTAAAGGCGTGCACCGCCACCATCCTGCTGTTTTCCTGATTTCTAACTCAAAAAGGTTAACTTTTTTTTTCGTTTCCCCTTTCTGTCTCTTCTTTTGATCCAGAACAAAATCTCCAGTACGCTTACTTTGACAGTCTGGGCTCTTTTCCTCCACACTTTTTCTACAGTTGCTTACAGTTTTCACCCTAACTCAAAGGCATTACCCTCCTCTCTGTTACTCCAGACAGCAGCTGCTAATATTTAGGCTTTTGAGTGCTGTTGTCGCTCCACCCTTACCCCAACCTCAGCCAAAACTAAGCTTCTCAAATACCTGGAAAAAGGGAAGGAGATTCTGCAATGTGCAGATAAGAGGGATAGGGTATTTTCTGTCTACTCTTGAGTTTATGGGGAGAAAACAACACGGGTCCAAGTTTTAAGCCACCTATCGTGAAATACTGTCTGTCCCCCAGGCGCAAAACAGGTTATTAATGTTTCAAAATCAGTGTGGTTGTGATGACCCTCACTGGGGATTCTAGTCATTCACACCCACCTCCCATGTTGTTCCCCAAACACAAGGAATCCTGAATCCTACCAGCTGCACCTGGTACAGAGTTACTAGTGTGTACAGGAGTTAGAAGGTTAATTGATGGGCAGGGTGCAGGGGCTGATGCCTTTACTCCCAGCATTTGAGGAGTAGGATGGTGAGAGAGTTTGAGGCCAGTCTTGTCTACACAGCCAACTTCAGGACAGTCGGGATGGGGGAGGGGAGAAGTTAACTGGTGGCAGGCTCCAGTGAGGCAGGTTTTGTGAGCTGTCATTCATGCTGGAGTGGACTTTAATGTGATGAAGGCACCCATGTGCCTCTAAGTAACTGCCAATAAATTTATGGGATTGCCAAACTAGTGTTAGATGGTAAAGATAGACTTGGATGGAATCCCCTTTGGTCTGTTGCTGGGGTCTTATCAAGGGTACTTGACACCTGAGTGGGAACTCAGCAAGACCAAAGATGAGTTTGGGAGGATCCATTTCATGTTTCCTGCTATGGAATATAAAACATGCAAATGAAGCTAAACCATCGACGCAGGGAAAGTGCTGATGTGGCCTGTTTTCTCCCTGTGGAGTGGAATGGCAGCTGAGAGCTGCACTGCCCTTGGCATGGATGATAAGACTGGCCTCTGAGAATGCTCCATCTGAGGAGGATGGATGTCAGTGCTGGGAAGCCCAGGGTAGTTGTCTTCCTCTGCATGGCATGAGGTCTATCACATGAGCACCAACCACAGCAACTCCAGGAATAACACCTGTGGGGCACTGGGTAGGATCCTCAGCAGACAGTGGCAGCAGCTGTGTGGTCTTTGCTGTGGGCAGAGAGACTTGCAACTGAGCTGAGTCACCTACCCAGGAAGGACTTGTCTAAGGGAAGAATGACAATGTGAAAAACATGTGCAAATGCTGCCTTTGTGATAAACTGGCTCACCATTTCTTATAGCTGGGGAATGTGAAGCAGGCATAAAGGAAAGAGCAGGAATTAGATGTCTGCTTCTGCAATCCAAAAACCTGGAAATGAAGGAAAGAATAAGACAGTAAAGAGAGAGAAAGTAAGGTAAAAGTAATAGAATTGCCTTCAGGCCCACCTTTAACTCAGGGAAAAGACTACGATTCAGCATACATACAGGGCCTTAGCAGTGATTCAGTATGGGAAACCTTGATAATCGGGGATATTCTCCATCTAAACTTGTTAAAACAAAGAAACAAACAAAAATACTTTAAAAAAATAAAATAGCACACACACTGAGTACCCAAGACTGTGGAACATAGATGTAGATAAGATCTGAGCTATGGAAGTAGATAAAGTGAGCACTGTAACTGCTCAACCTGCTATGGGACAAAGGCTGCACAATCTGATGCGGATGAAAGGATCATTAGGACAGCAAGATATCTCAGTGCTTGATGCTTGCCATGAAGCCTGACAACCTGAGTCTGAAACCCTGGGCACACATGGTAGAAGGAGAAAACCGACTCCCACAAGTTGTCCTCTGACCTTGAGATGTGTGTTGCACATGTGCAGGTGTGTACACACACACACACACACACACACACAATTTGAAAGTTTGGTTTTCAGTGTGAACTGTAAAGGAAGCATCATGAGCTGTGGTTCTTTTGAAGGAGGAGCTTTGATATTTCAAAAGCCCATGCCATCCACTTAGCTTGCTCCCTTCCTTTTTTAAGTGACCTTGGCCATGGTGTCTTGTCATAACACTAGGGCAGTAGGAAGACACTTGACATCGGTTCCAGATCTATGCCACTCCAGAAAATGACCACCCTTTTGTCTTTGATTTGGAGCAAGGGAGCCTCCCTGATTCCCAGATCCCACAGAATCCACCCTTCTTTCAATGATGTATGACTTGCTTCTTTCATTCCTGTGACAAATTTTTTAAGAAGAAGCAACTTCAGGGAGGAAAACTGAAGCACTGCGGCTCTCCAACCTTTGACTAATAGTTCATAAGGGGCACGTGATGGTGGGAGCCATTCAGGGCCACAGCCTAGAAACCTTGCTCACATTTGGGCAGATCGGGAAACTGAGAGGAGCTAGAAACAGCCCATAAACTTCAAGGTCCACCTTCCAGTGATTAAATCGCTCTGGTTAGACCCTACATTCCTAAATATCCCAATAGAATAGTCAGTGTCACCAGATACAAACCAAGGTTTCATATTCCTGAGACATGGGGAAATATTTTCTATTTAAACCATAACAGAGATCCCATCTATTCAGGCATGGAGAGGAACCAACTCTGAAAGGGGTGAGTGTCAGTTCCCTTTTGATCTCAGCCCGTTTCTGCCAGTGTTCACAGACCAGCTATAGTTACTCAGTCACTGGGTTGTACTCCACTTGGGGGTGTACAGGTTCAGCCCTTTATTCTAGAACTTTCCAAGGAATACAGAGTTTTTTTATCCTGGGCCCATACAGCTTAAGTGCTGCTCTCTAGATCTCCAACCCAACTCATATGATCAGAGGTCAAGTTGTCCTCAGGAAGGATCAGACGTTTGTTCTTCTCTGATTCTTCTCAGATCCTCCAAAAACAAATGTGACTCATCACCCCAGACCTGAAGGAGGCGCCACCCTGAAGTGCTGGGCCCTGAGCTTCTATCCTGCAGACATCACCCTGACCTGGCAGAGGGATGAGGAGGACCTGACCCAGGACATGGATCTTATTGAGACCAGACCTGCAGGGGATGGAACCTTCCAGAAGTGGGCAGCTGTGGTGGTGCCTTCAGGAGAAGAGCAGAGATACACATGCCATGTGCTGCATGAGGGGCTGCCTGAGCCCCTCGTCCTGAAATGGGGTAAAGGGGTGTGTGTAGGCCCAGAGTCTGTCTTAGGGAAAGCAGGAGCCCTTCTGCAGACCCTGAGCAGGGCCAGGGTCCCTCACCTCTGTCCTCTCCTACTCTCTCTCCCAGAGCCTCCTCCATCTCCCACCACCCCCATCATGGGAATCATTGCTGGGCTGATTCTCCTTGGAGTGTTGGTTGCAGGAGCTGTGGCTGCCATTGTGATGAGGAAGAGTACAGGTAGGACAAGGGCAGTGTCTGAGACTTGGGCCTTACTGAGCCCTGGATGTAAACATACCCATTTTCTGTATTGTTACTATAAAGTGTGTCCATTGATGAGTGCTTAGCCACTTTGGGACTATTATTATTATCATCATCATCATTATGTTTTTCTGTAAGGAAAAACTGGAAATAGAGAACAAATATTTCACATTGGGGTTCCCGGTGATGTGACACAAATCTGAGGTCAAGTCCTCAGGACAGGGAAATAGCTGGGAGGATACTTGATCCTGTTCTCAGGTTTCCTGACCCTGTTCTATTATCTGAACTATTATTTGAGATCTAGGACTAGGAGTTTCCTCTGGCACCAACTGGTTCTTCATCCTTCTCTGTCTTTATCCTCCCAGAGAGGGAATAGTGTGTAGTTAGAACTTTTATTTTATTTCTACCCCTTGGCCTCCTGTCCTGGCATTAGAACTCCTTTCTCCTTTCTTGTATGGAAAGCAATCAGAGAACAAGTCCCCCCATCACTCTGCTAAACATTCCTGCAGCTAAGCACAGCTTGAGTCCTTGGCTCTACCAGTGTGTACCTGTACCTTGTGCAGGACGCAGTGTTGATGGATTTTTGTGTTCTGTCCTTAGATATGAAGACTTAAGTTTGCGGTTTTTCATTTTACTAAGATAAAAAAATTGTAAGCCTCTAATTTCACATATAAAATTACTTTATGAATAAATGACAAGAATGTGGATTCTATTATTTGTGTCTCTAAATTACAAATGAGTCTAGAATATTTTCAGATAACAATCAGTCAGAGACTGACATTGTGTTAATCACTTCCTATTTCTCATACCTGAGGCTACACCTCATAGGAGAGAAAGAATATGTCCTTGTCAAAATGGCAATCAGAACTGATGACATTTGGAACTGTTCTCCATTGTGGTTGCTACTGTGATGATTGACATCAGTGGCCTCAAACCTTTTTCTAGAATTCCCAGGCCTCTTCTCAGACCCCACTGTCTTAGGCTGAATATCAGGGAGCCTGGATATACTTTTTCTCTCTCTCTTTGACAGGGTCTCACGCAGTGGATCAGTTTGGCCTGGAACTCACCATGTGACAGCTAATCTTCAGTGTCAACTTGACAGGATTTAGAATCTCCCAGGACTTGCAATTCTGGATTTGTCTGTGAAGGGTGTTTCCAGAAATTAACTGAGGAGAGGATGCTACGGACCGGTTCAAGGGAGCCACTCAGACCATAAGGGAATCAGGGCGAAGGCACAGGAGAAATCAGGATACGGTGAGGAAAGTGACACACAGACACTCTCAATGTTGAGACATGCTGTTGTACTTTACTTATTCAGGGCGAGGTTTTTATATTATTACAAACAAAGAACTTGGCAAAGGCATACAACATCAGATCATAAAATAGAAAAGAACGGCATAAAACAGTTTTACAAAGAGAATCTTTAAAGATGCTTTGGCATGAGTACAAGGACTTTTGCTTCCTTACATTTGTAAAGTTACCCCTTCTTTTTTCTTGTTATTAGAGAGACCATTGTTCTTGAGTTAGCCCACCTTTATCAGCTTGTACCAGGTGGCTGGCTGGGCTCAGCTAAGTGACCTTGTGTGTTTGGGTGAGAAAGAAGAAGGCTACTATCTTCCTGGAAAAACTTTCTGAGACTCATTTTGTACCATTAATCTCAACTCCTTTCCCTTCCCAACTCTCAGGGTCAGATGTTGTAATTAGCCTAGGTTTTCTGGCCATAAGGAAGGTTGCATAGGCCTCCTGTTAAGTTGCACATAAATGCCTAATGCTGTTTTCCTGTAGAAGGCTCTAAGGTTTTTTCTGCTAAGATTAACTCCTTTTATTCCACATCATCAAGGAATTGTCCTAATGATAACTCTGGCAATTCCCAGAACTGGCTACTTTTTTAAGGCTTTAATTAATAGTGGAACAAAATTCAAAAATGTCCTCAGCAGTCTTGTTTATATCCACAACTGCCTGGAATAGTCTGATCTGTTAGCAATATGTAAGGATCACAAAGAACACACAGACAAAGGAAAAGACACACATTATGGCTCCAAGGACAGCGAAGTCGAGTTAGTACAGATGGCGACTCAGGTAGCATTACACCACAACTGATTGCCAAGGGACCACCTGGAACACACAGCTCCAAGAAGCACGAATCCTAACCCATCCGGCAATATTTGCCTGCCCAGTCAGCATTTCTGCTAAACTGGCGTGACAGCCGTGGATGTAGCAAGAGAAGAGCTGCACTGAATGTGGGTAACACCACTCCATGATCTGGGGGCCAGACTGAAGAAAAGGGAGGAAAATGAGAAAGCCAGATAAGAGCCAGTGTCCCCACACTCTGCTTCCTGATACATGGAAATTTGAGTCATCCCAGTCACAGCTCCAGCTGCCATGAACCCAGCCATGCCTTTCCTGCCAGGATGCACTGAGCATTCTTAAATCCAAAACCAAAATAATCCTTCTTGCCTTAAGCTGCTCTGTCTTCTTTCAGGTTTGTTGTTGTTTGATTTATATGAAAGAGAAAACTGAGTGATAGAACAGTTTGGGTTGACCTTCTACTCCCCAAAATCATCCTGTCTCCCTCTGAGAGCTGGTGTTGCAAGTGTGGGGAATATAATCTTCTACAAATGTATTGAGATGAATTGAGACTGTGGGAGTGTGTCTGTATATTAGAATCATATCAGAGGAACCAGGCCCAAGAACTTATGGGACACACCCAGTCAATGAAAGGGTACATTGCTATGAAACAATGGTCTTGTCCCCTGTAAGGATTTGTCACTTGTATTGGTTTAATAAAACTCTGATTGGCCAGTAGCCAGGCAGGAAGTATAGGCGGGGCTACCAGAATAGGAGAATTCTGGGAAGAGAAAAAGGCTCAGGCTTTAGTTGTCACCCAGATTCAGAGGAAGGAAGTTGAGAATGCCTCACTAATAAAAGGTACCAAGCCACATGGCTAACATAGACAAGAATTGCAGGTTTATGTAAGGTATAAGAGTTAATTAATAAGAAGCCTGTGCTAAGAGGCTAACTAGTTTAAAATTAATGTAGGCCTCCTGTGTTACTTTGGTACTGAATGACTGTGGGACCAGATGTGACAGAAACCTCTGTCAAGAAATGGCATCATCGTGGACAACTACATCCACAGAAAGCCTGAGAAAGCTTGGGAAATAATCCTAGACACAAAAGAAGAGAGTTAAGCATGGCTTCTTTGTATCAGCGTTTCTGATTATAAATGCTACTGGATTAATTCAACATAACATATTTTGAAAATGCCTTGACTTCAAAATTGAAGTCAAAAGATATGTTACTTTGGAAAAGAGGTTTTGCTTTTGTTTCCATGGGAAATGTGGGACTATGGATTCATTCTGGGTTAAGAAAAATCCGGTTTTATTAAGGAAGATGCCCTAAAAAATCTCCAGTAGGTGTGAATGACCCAGATGATCCAACATTTCAGAGGACCTCTGTTGGCGTTTCCTCTGAGTTCTACATCCAGAACTCCTGACTGAGATGATCAAGTTTCACAGACTATTCCAGTCAGGACTTGATCATAATCCTAAATTTTCCTTAGGTCCCCATGAGATTATCAGCACCCCCCAATCAGCAGGAAGTATTCTAGAAAACTATGCCCACATTGCAGAAAAATAGATTATAGATCTATTTTTCCTTGGTTTAGAGTGTTAGATACAAGTTGTTATGGATAATGGTCAGGAAAAAAAGCTAAACAAGGGAATTAGATTCAGAGTTCTTGTTTTAAAAAGAAAAATAAAGGGGAGTGGGAGTACTGTGTGATAATGGTTTTGTATCCTCTAAAGATTTATCACTTGTATTGGTTTAATTAAACTCTGATTGGCCAGTAGCCAGGCAGGAAGTATAGTCAGAGTGACAAGAAAAGGAGAATTCTGAGAAGAAGAAAGGCTCAGTCTGTAGTTATCACTCAGATGCAGAGGAAGCAAGATGAGAATGTTTCACTGATAAAAAGGTAACAAGAGCATGGCTAACACAGACAAGAATTATTGGTTAATGTAAGATATAAGAGTTAATTAATAAGAAGCCTGAACTAAGAGGCCAACCAGTTTAAAATTAGTGTAGGCCTCTGTGTGTTACTTTGGGACTGAATGGCTGCAGGACTGGGCATAATGAAAACTTCAGTCAACAATATATCTTCATCAAAATCCCAGAAAAATGTGTACACCCAACAGTGTAATGTCATTAGCCTTACACGAATCTGTCAATTGATAGTGTGTGGATCAGTGACTGACAGAGAACTCCACACTGTCCCTGGGGCTTCAGCTCAGTTATGCTGATGTGGACTATTTTGCTATAATTTTCCCATATTCCTTTCATCCATCTAGATCTCTGTCCATCCATCTGTCCATTCCTTTCCCTAGATCTAATCCCACCTTTTACCTCTGCAGCTAGAGTCATTTCTCAGTCTTCTGCTCAGTGTCTGACTCTAGAGCAGCAGCTTCTTCTGTGCATCGTTTGGGTTCCCTACCATATTAAAAAGACTCTTTACATTTCTTTAAGGGTTATTTTTATTTTCTGTGTATGAATATTTTGTTTGTGTGTATGTGCATGCACCAGGTATATCCCTGGTGCCTGCAGAGGCCAGAAGAGGGCATCAGATACCCTGGAACTGGAGTTACAGATGCTTGTGAGCCACCATGTGAGTGCTGAGAATCACTCTACAAAAGCAGTGAATGCTCTTAACCTGAGCCATCTCCCTAGTCCTCTATTTACATTTCTATAAACTCACTTCTGAAGCATTATGAAATGCTATTGCAGCCTCCTTAACCTTTGTATCTATCTATCCTGTAACCCTTATATACTTATATTTACTGTGTGATGTGTCATATTTCAGTTAATATCAGTAATTAAGATTACAATAAAAGAGCATGTGTTTGCTTCAATTAGAGTAACAAAAAAAGCAGGACTATGTGCCAAACTCCTAAAATAGAAACCATCACACTTAATGAATTTATTTTTACTAATTGTGACACTGTAGAATGTTGGGTGTTCACAGAAGGAGAGTGAGCCCTGAATGTGATTTTAGGATCTCTGGTGTCAGGGGAACAGTTTCTGAGAACTGAACCTCAAACCTCTGTTCAGAGAGTATTTATTGCTTGTACACAAAGGTTATGTTTAGAGCACAACAAGTTCCTCATACCAAAGCCCCTTTACTATATGTTCTCTAAAGAAAACCATCTCCCACAACTTTAATCCATGTCGTGTACTGTTGCAGTACCCAGTAAGTAACTCAAGACCTCCAAGTGTGCCCAGACAGTCTTGTGACCAAAGTCATGCAAGGGACTGAAAACTTCATCAGAAAAGCATAATCATAGAAAACCATCACTGTTCTCTACCATGATTTCTTCAAGATCTAGATACGTTCAACTAGATATGCTAGATACCGGGAGAAACAATTATCACATTCTAATGTTCGTCCTAGAAACTCTACTAGATCCCACTACAGTGGAAAGACACAGTCATAGTCATCTATGTTTCTTATGTAAATAAAATAGTCATGATACACTGTGAATATGAAAAATAAAAACACAGATCACAACTCAAAGGGAGTTTATTCTGGAGTCAAATGTAAGGGATAATAGCCTGGGACACAGATTTCAGTTACTTTAGAACAAATTCCTTGTTCTAAAATAATAGCAATTTTATAAAGTTTACATAGTAACAGAACAAAAAAAGGCATAAACAACACATCTTAAAATATATTTGTGGAAACATCTGGCATGCAGGTTATATCAATGTAGGGAACTCTGCTACAGACCTCAGATGTTATCTGATGACATGGTTTGGTTGATGCTAGGAGTCTGTCTGTTTGTACATTCCAAAACAATTTACCTAATTATCACAAGGATGTCAGGTTACATGGAGAGGGGATTAATAATGGATATTTAAGGGTCTAGAATAGCACAAGACATTTTGGCTCTCTGTATCAGTGACAATCTAACCAATCTAATCAGTCCACAAACCAATCTAATCAGTCCACAATACAGATGTTTGGGTTTTTTGTTTGTTTGCTTGGCAGTCCTGGCTTGTCGATGTCTAGTGCGTTTGGATGCCTGAGTAAGGGTCTCACACAAATCAGGACACGGGGGACACAGAGTATGAACAATTGAATAACAAGCTTTATTTTGCATGGTCTTTTATACAGTCTAAAAAACAGTACCTCAACCCTCAAACCCTCCTTACCCATGTAGATGATCATGAGATACTCTCACCTCACCCTGCATGAAACAATGTCTCAATAAAAAGCAGTATACAGAATAAAAAGAAGTATAAAGAAACAAAGCAAAAAGTATGCAGAAGCAAAGCACTTTCTTAATCTATATCTGGTGGAGCATGATGGACTGAGCTCTAACACCACTTCCTTATCAAGGGTACAGATTCTGACAGAACTTTGAGAAATGAGCAGAGAAAGTATGCTTCTGTCTATCCTTGGTCTGCCAAGCAGTCATTTTTCACCTTCATCTCATGTCCAGGAGGAGCCTGCACTCTAAACCAGATCTGTGTCTCCACACTGGTTGGCCTCAAACTCACAGTGATCCCCCTGCCTCTGCCTCAAAGTGCTGGGATTAAAGACATGTGCCACCACCACGTGGCCTGGTGTTCTATTTAAAAAATTGTTATTATTTTTATTTTATGTGCAATGGTGTTTTAACTGCATGATTTTTTCTCCACACTTTCTACAGCTGTTTACAATTCTACTTTACTGATCCTAACTCAAAGGCATTGCTCTCCTCTCTATATTACTCCAAGATTAAGGCTTGCAAGAGCTGTTCTCATTCTACCCCCAACCCCAGCCCCAACCCCTGCCAAAACAAATGAAATGGTACCAGAGCATCCTTCTGAGTCTGGTTTTGCTGTTGTTTTTGCTTTTAGCCTTATTTTTTTCCTTTTTAATAAAGAAGAATTCGTAAACGGGAACCCCTTACTCCCCAGTAATGTTTGGACACCCACACATTCATTTCTGCTGTATGTGAGAATTTCAGAGAACCGCTCAGAATCATCGTGATCCGTCCCCACACACCCACAACGCTATAAAACTGTACAGAGAGGAACAAAGACCCAAACCCTTCAGGTTCTCCAAACACTGAAGATGAGGTTCACGGTGCCCTGCGCTCTTGTTCTGTTGCTTGCAGATGCCCTAGCCCCAACTCAGAACAGCGCAGGCGAGGACCGGGTGGAGAGAGAAACCACCTCGGCGGGGAGGATCGAGGGCTCCCGTCCGGGACCACACCCAGAAAGCCATGTCTCCACCGTCGTCCAGCCAGACCTCCCCTCTCCTCGAGATGGGCAGCCTCTGCCAAGCTCCCGTCTCCAATCCGTGTCCGGAACCCAGCGCCCTTCACCTTTCCCAGCGGGTGCAATGGTTCCTCGGTCCGGCCGGGTTCAGAGTCAGCTCGGGCCACTGGTAGGCTCACACTCCCTGCGGTATTTCACCACCTCCTTGTACGATCCTGAGTTCCGTAAACCTCGGATCACTGTCGTGAGCTACGTGGACAACACGCAGATCTTGAGCTTCGATAGCAAAGCGGCGAGTCAGCGGGTGGAGCCGCGGGTTCCATTTATAGCAGAGGACGGAGAGCATTTGGAGGAGCTGACACGCATCAGCAGGCGCATCTTAATAGCTGGCCAAGTCGACTTGTGGTCCCTGTTTGGCTACCATAGCCAGAAAGGTAATGTTGAGTAACCCTAGACTCGGAAGGCTAGTCTATAGTCTCCACATATTCCTAGGGCCCTGGAAACATACCTTGGATTAGAGAAATTTGGAAGTTCCTGTCATTCTAGACAAGACTGAAGAAATTTATTGGGGTTTCATTTTACTGGGTAATAGGCTTTGACTAATCAAATGAAAGCTATTGTACAATGAGTGGGGCTAACCTAGGAGACCTTGCTGATTTCCCTGACTGCAACAGGATCTCACACTATCCAGTGGCTGAGTGGCTGTGACATAGGGCCAGACCACCGCTTCCTTCGTGGGTATAAGAATGTTGGTTATGAAGGCCAGGATTACATCTCTCTGACCAAGGACCTGCACTCCTGGATTGCGGTGGATACTAAGGAGGCCCAAATCACCAGGCGCAAGTGGGAGGCAGCTGGTACTGCAATGTTATGGAGGTCTTTCTTAGAGGGCACATGCGTGGAGTGGCTTCTCAAATACCTGGATGAAGGGAAGGAGGTGCTGCAGCGTGCAGGTACGTGGGGGTAACTCTGTCAGCACTTGAGCAGAGTTTATGGGAAGAAAAGAGAATGGGGACTAATTCCTAAGCCAGTTATTATGAAATATTGTCCCCAGGCATGACATGGGCTGCTTCAAAATCAGAGTAGCTGGGGATTCTAGCCATTCACACCATCCTATGTTCCCCAATCACAAGGAATCCTACCAGCTGCACCTGGTACAGAGTTACTAGTGGGTATAAGAGATAGAAGGTTAATTGATGGGTGGGGTGCAGGGGCTGATGCCTCTAATCCCAGCATTTGAGGAGTAGGAGGATGAGTGAGTTCGAGGCCAGCCTTATCTACACAGCCAACTCCAGGATAGTCAGGATGGGGAAGGGGAGAATTTAACTCATGGGATAAACTGGTGGCAGAATCTAGTGAGACAGGTTTTGTGAGCTGTCATTCATGCTGGAGTGGACTTTAATGTGATGAAGGTGTTTTTGAATATTAAGTAACTCCTTACCCATGTGCCTAAACGTACCTGCCAATAAATTTATGGAATTGCCAAATTAGTGTCAGATAGTAAAGATAGACTTGGATGGAATCCCCTTTGGTCTGTTGCTGGAGTCTTATCAAGGGTACTTGACACCTGAGTGGGAACTCAACAGGACCAAAGATGAGTTTGGGAGGATCCATTTCATGGTTCCTGCTATGGGATATAAAACATGCAAATGAAGCTCAACCATCCATGGGGGAAGTGCTGGTGTGGCCTGCTTTCTCCCTGTAGAGTGGAATGGCAGCTGAGAGCTGCACTGCCCTTGGCATGGATGATAAGACTGGCCTCTGAGAATGCTCCATCTGAGGTGGATGGATAGCAGTGCTGGGAACCCCAGGGTAGTTGTCTTCCTCTACATGGCATGAGGTCTATCACATGAGCACCAACCACAGCAACTCCAGGAATAACACCTGTGGGGCACTGGGCAGGATCCTCAGCAGACAGTGGCAGCAGCTGTGTGGCCTTTGCTGCGGGCAGAGAGACTTGAAACTGAGCTGAGTCACCATCATCCTTGGTCTGTACAGTTTAAGTGCTGCTCTCTTCATCTCCAGCCCAACTCAGGCGATGAGCACGTGATCAGTGCTCAAGTTGTCTACAGGAAGGAACAGAAGTTTGTTTTTCTCTGACTCTTCTCAGATCCTCCAAAAACAAATGTGACTCATCACCCCAGACCTGAAGGAGGCGCCACCCTGAAGTGCTGGGCCCTGGGCTTCTATCCTGCAGACATCACCCTGACCTGGCAGAGGGATGAGGAGGACCTGACCCAGAACATGGATCTTATTGAGACCAGACCTGCAGGGGATGGAACCTTCCAGAAATGGGCAGCTGTGGTGGTGCCTGCAGGAGAAGAGCAGAGATACACATGCCATGTGCTGCATGAGGGGCTGCCTGAGCCCCTCGTCCTGAAATGGGGTAAACGGGTGTGTGTAGGCCCAGAGTCTGTCTTAGGGAAAGCAGGAGCCCTTCTGCAGACCCTGAGCAGAGCCAGGGTCCCTCACCTCTATCCTCTCCTACTCTCTCTCCCAGAGCCTCCTTTGTCTCCCATCAGCCTTATCATGGGAATCATTGCTGGGCTGATTCTCCTTGGAGTGTTGGTCGCTGGAGCTGTGGCTGCCATTGTGATGAGGAAGAGTGCAGGTAGGACAAGGGCAGTGTCTGAGATTTGTACCTTCCTTAGAAATTTCAAGCCCTGGATGTAAATGTGCCCATGTTCTGTTACTATGATCTGTTACTATAGTCCACTTTGGGACTTTTTTCTTTTTTCTTTTCTTTTCTTTTTTTTTTTATTTTTGAGACAAGGTTTCTCCGCAGTTTTTTGGAGCCTGTCCTGGAACTAGCTCTTGTAGACCAGGCTGGCCTCAAACTCACAGGGATCTGCCTGCCTCTGCCTCCCAAGTGCTGGGATTAAAGGCATGCGCCACCACCGCCCGGGTTTTTTTCTTTTTTCTAACTCTGTAAGGAACACCTGAAAATTGAGGATTCTCATGATGTGACACAAATCTGGGGTGGAGTCTCCAGGAGGGGAAATGGCTGGGAGGATACTTGATCCTGTTCTCATGTTTTCTGACCCTGTTCTAGGTCTGTCTGCAACCAAACCCTGGAATATTATCTATGTGGTCTAGGGCTAGGAGTTTTCTCCGACACCAACTCATTCTGCATCCTTCTCTGTCTTTATCCTCCCAGAGATCAAAAAGGGTGTAGGTAGTTAACTTTTATCATTTTATTTCCACTGCTTGGTCTTCTCACTGAAAAGTCTAAAAAGGAAGCAGAGACCTAGTCCCCCATCACTCTACTAAACATCCCTGCAGCTGAGCACAGCTTGAGTCCTTGGCTCCACCAGTGTGTACCTGTACCTTGTGCATCCAGTGTGGATGAGCTCTCGTGTTCTGTCCTTAGATATGAGGACTCAAGTTTGGGGAATTTTTATTTTTCTAAAATAAAAAATTTGTAAGCTTCTCATTTCATCTATAAAATTTCTTATGTTTTAACGGTGAGAATTTACATTCCATTATTTATGACTATAAGTTGCAAATCAGTCTAGAGAATTTCCAGATAGCAATTAGTCAGACAGTTACATTGTGTATATTGCTTCCTATTTCTTACTCCTGAGGCTACAACCCATAGCAGAGATAACAACATGTACCTGTCAACATGGCAACTCAGGACTGATGATACTTGGAACTCTTTGCTGTGCATGATACTGTGATGATTGACATCAGTGGCCTCAAACCTTTTTCTAGAATTCTCAGGCCTCTTCCCAGACTCCACTGTCTTAGACTGTAAAGCAGGGAGCCAAGTTATTACTGATTTTTTCTCTTTTTGACAGGATCTCACCATGTATCCCAAGATGGCCTAGAACGCACTAATTAGCTGTGACAGCTCTTCTTGATTTAGAAGCTCCCGGACTTGCAATTCTGGAAATGTCTGTGATGGTGTTACCAGAGAAGATTAACTGAGGTGGAAAGGGCTGCACTGAATGTCAGTAACACCAGTCCATGATTTGGGCCCCTAGACTGAAGAAAAGGGAAGAAAAGGAGAAATCCAGATAAGAGACAGCATTCCTATGTAGACAGAAGTTTCTGTTTTGTCTGGCTCCAATGAAATTCAGTCCCAAATAAACAGAGGCTTATATTAATTATAAGCTGTTTGGTCTATTAGCTCAAGCTTATTATTAACTGTCTCTTACAACTTAGGTTCATCCATAATTCTTGTCTACGTTTAGCCACATGGCTTGGTACCTTTTGTCAGTAAGGCAATCTCATGTTGCTTCCTCTGTATCTGGCTGATGGGTGCAACTTTTCTCTTCCCAGAATTCTTCTTGTCTGTTTGCTCTGCCTATACTTCCTGCCTGGCTACTGGCCAATCAGTGTTTTATTAAACCAATATGAGTGACAAATCTTTACAGCATACAAGAGCATTATCCCACAGCATCCCCACACTCTGTTTCCTGATTCCTGGAGATATGAGTCATTCCAGCCACATGCTCCAGCTGCTATAAACCCAACCATGCCTTTCCTGCCAGGATGGGTTGAGCCTTCTTAAATCAAAAACCAAAGTTAAGTCCTTCTTGCCTTAAGTTGCTTCTTTCAGGCTCTTTTGTCTTTGTCTTTGTTTTTATCTTTTACATTAATGAGAAAACTGAGTACAAATTTTACTTCCATAAACCATCCTGCCTCAACCTGAGTGGTGGTATTGCAAGTGTAGGGGAATACAGTCTGCTCCAAGAATGACTCCTATTACCAGCTGTGAGGTAGACTCATGCATTGCCTAGGGCATCCTGGTCTACATTCCATGCAGCTTTGTGTGAACATCAACAGGCTCAGTCCAAGCTTATTATACAGAATCTCAGCTCAGACACTCTGAATCTTGAGATGTCCAGGGGACTTCTGTACACAAGAAAGTTGAGACTTCCTGTGCCTTTTCTTCTTCTTTTTTTGTCTTTTCTCATACAATACATCCCAGCCAAAGCCTCCCCTGCCAGTCCCCCACAACTTCCCCTTCCTCCCAGTTCCCCACAACCTCCCCTCTCCCTCAGATCCACTCTTCCCCCAATTCACTTCATACAAAAGCAAATCTCCCAATAATACCAACCAAATATCTTAAACAGGTACAATAAGGCTAGGTGTATACCCCCGTATAAAGAAGGGACAAGGCAACACAGTAGAAGAGTCCCACAAGCGGGCAGAAGAGTCAAAGACAAATACCCCAGGCTGTTAGGAGTCTGACAAATACCCCAGGCTAGACAACCACGGCAAGTATGCATCAGACTAGTGCAGATCCACGCAGGCTCCATGATTGCCACTTCAGTCTCTGTGAGACCCTATAAGCTCTGTTTAGTTGATTCTGTGGCATCCTTGATATTTCTGACTCCTACAATTCTAATTCTTTCCCCCCCTCTTCTTTGAGGTTCCCTAATATTTAGTTGTGTTTCTCTGCATCTGCTCCCATCAGTTGCTGGAGGAAGCCTTTCTGATGCCAACTGGGGCTAGGCACTAGTCTATGAATATACTAGAATATTAGAATATTACTGGGAATAATTCCATTTACTTTTTTTGTCATTTGTGTTTGCTTCTACCCTAAGTCTCTGAGCTATCCTCCTTCTGGGTCCTAACCATCCAGTGTCAGAGCATCAGCTTCCTCTCATGGCTTGGGCCTCAAGTTAGATCAGTCATTGGTTGGCCACACCCACAAACTCACTTATAAGTGGATATTAGCTGTTAAATAAAGCATAGTCACACTACAATCCACAGATTCAAAGAGGCTAAATAATAATGAGGATCTTAGCAGGGATGAATGGATCCCTCTGGAAGAGGAAATTTCTATACATTTTCTGAGCTTATCCCTGGAACTCTGTATTGTTTCAGGATTGTGGACTAACTATAATATCCCCTATAGACTCATGTGCTTGAACTCTTGGGCCCCCACTAGTGATGCTGTTTAGAAAAACTGGAACATTTAGGAGGTAGAGTGTGGCTCTAGAAAACGGTTGTCAGCAGTGGTGCACGGTGGCACAAACCTTTAATGCCAGCACTTGGGAGGCAGACGTAGGCAGATCGCTATGAATTGAGGCCAGTGAGTTAGTGAGTTCCAGGACAGACAGGGCTACATATTGAGATTGGGGGGGTGGAGTAGGGGAGGAATTTGCTGGGGTTTGACCTCCAGGTGTTGATGTTGTTGCTTTAAATGACATCATTTATTTTGTAGGCCTCTGGGCCATTTTTCCACAACATCTATTTCTTTTTTTAGTAAACTTAATTTATTTATTCTTTAACAATTATGCACTTTTTACATGCATTTTGATCATTTTCATGTATACAGTTACCCTGTCTCATCCCCTTCCAGTGCCCACTGTACCCTGCTTCCCAACCAGTACCCCACCTACTGTCATGAGCTGTGAGTTCTTGAGTGCATTGGCCATGTATTGTCCACAAGATGGCATTTCACAGAGCTGCCCATTTTCCAGCCCTAACATTCTTTTGCCATGGTGTTTACTAAGCATCAGAGGGAGTGATGCAGAGGTCCTGTTAGGAACGGACTTCAATAGACACTTGTGTGCAGCGTTTTGATCAGTTAGACTCTACTTTGCTGTAAAAAGAAGATTCTCTGACCGTGGTTAAGAGTAGCTGCAATCTGTGGGAATCAACATAAATATTTAGAAGGCCATTCGACAGGACTACCATTTAGCAGCACATCAGCAGTAGGTGGAGTCCTACCTCTTCCCTAGGGTTTAATAGTTCCTTTGCTATGGGATTTTCTCCTAGTTTACAGTACCAAATATGAATTCCCACCTGTGGGCCAGGCCTCAAATCTAATAAGAAAGTGACTGGTCGTCCCCTTAGCTCTGGTACAGTGGGAAACTGTTTACAACATTAAGCAGATAGAAAGGAAATGATTATTTAATGGGGGCATATGTGGAATCAATGCAATAAAGGAATGGTAATCATAGCTTATTAAAATCACAGCTTTAATAGTCTTTATAAAGTCCTAATAATAGGAGACGGAGAGATGGTTCAGCAATTAAGGGCACAAACTGTTCTTTTAGAGGATCTAAGTCCCTGTACTTAGGATGAGGTGATCTGACACCTTCTTCTGGCATTGTGAGCATATGGTACACAGACATACATTCAGGCAAAATACCCATATACCGAGACAGGTCTCTGTAAATCCGAGCCCAGCCTGGTCTACAAAGCAAGGGTTAGGGTTAGAGTTAGTCAGGCCAGCTAGGCTACATACTGAGATCCTATCTCAAAACCCAAAGAGAGAGAAAGAGAGATTGAGATTCAGATTAAGGCTAGCCTAGGCTGTTACATGAGTTAAGATGCCTGTGCCCCTGACAGCTCTGACAAGCCATGGTCAGCTAGCTGTCTGTTCAACAAGGTGATTAAAAAATCCAGGCAGTGTAAAACAAAAGGAAGAAAGTAGATTTATTTTTATGTATTATACATACAATATTCTGTCTGCATGCATGCCTGCAAGCCAGAAGAGGACACCAGACCTCATTACAGATGGTTGTGATCCACTATGTGGTTTCTGGGAACTGAACTCAGGACCTTTGGAAGAGCAGGCAATGCTCTTAACATCTGAGCCATCTCTCCAGCCCGAAAGTAGATTTATTTAATATGGTCATATTGATGAGGACAATAGCAGCTCCCAAGTCTACCTTCTGAGTCCTCACCTGAGGCCATCCTTTAAACAGAAGACAAGAGGGATGTGCATAATTAGTCTGCCCAAGTCCAGGGTGTGGTCCTTTAACCCACCATCGTCTGGTCTGCAGCTTCACCCCACAGTGTGGGGTTATTAGAAGCATGTGAAAGACCTTTTCTGGGGACAAGTTCCTCCTCTGGTTAGCACCAGGTTTCAGTGTATGTCCATCAGCATGAGATTCCTAGGAGGACAATTCCAGTTCCTTGAGGTACCTTAATTCACAGTCACGTATTCAGAAGGAAGGACACAAGTGTCTTTAGACTATCTGCAGATCAGTTATACACAAAAGTTTATGTTTAATACTAATCCTGGATGTGATGGCATTTGAAGTTAGGGACTTTGGAGATAATGGGATCAGGATGGGGGAGCCTTAATGAATGGGATTAGTCCTCTAACAACAGAGAACCCAGGGAGCTCC